TAAATTAAAATTAGAATCTTAATGAATTTAAATTGAAATTTTATCTTGATTAATTATTATATTTGATAAAAAAAATTTTGAACTTCAAAAACAAAATATTGTAACAAATAAAAATATATATACTATATTTAACATTTTTCAAAAGATTAAGGGGCAACTTGTCAACTGTTGAAAAGAATTATGTTAATCAATTAACAGAATGTTTGTTAAGTAGATCATTTTGAAACAAAATTAATAATTTATAGATCATTTTGAAAGAAAAAATTATTTTTAAATTAAATTGAAATAAATCACATAGTTAATAAATTATTTATTGAATTTATCCAGCAAAAAAAAGAAGAAAAGAGAAGAGAAAGGTGGATAAAGAGAGAAAAAGTAGAAAAAAGAAAGGAAATGAAAAAGGAAAGATGAGAAGACCATATATCAAATCATAAAACTTAAGACACTGAGTATCATTATAATTATATATATTATTGTTCTAGTAAAAAATAAAAAAATAGTGACATGGCATGTCATTGTGAATAAAAGAGATCTAAATTAGATAATATTTATCAATAAAAGGAGAAATTTATGACTTCGACGCTTTGTCTTGGTGGTACATATCATTCTCAATCTCGTCTCCATACCTACATTGTGAGTATGTTAATGTTAGTACAAACTCATCTTTCAAGATCTTCTACTCCACTTTCGCTTTTTGTATGTAAACATTGTATCTTGTTCTTTATCTTTCAAGTCCTAGGTTCAATTGTAGGCAATACAAAATCACATCCTCATGGAATTAGACTAAACTCTTATCGGTATCCACTCCATTTTTAGGAAAATTTGTTACTGCATGATAAGTATGCATTCCTCCAAAATTCTCAAAAAACAAGTGCTCATTTAACCATGTTTAATTTTATTGGTATCATTAGGTACAATTACTTTTTTTTTTTTTTTAAGAATGGTTAATAGTAAGTTTGTTATTAAAAAAACATTAATTGAGTGGTTAAAAAAGTTATTTACCATGTCAACATCATCATTTAATTAATTTTTAAATAAAAAATACAAATTTAGTATCCTTAAATTAAAAATTTTGAAAATTTATTATCTTATTTAAAATTTTATAAAGTTCATATTTTTAAATAAAAAAAAATAAAATTCATATTATTGTTTGTACCTATTCTCGTAAAATGACTATCTTAATCAATTCCTTGTTAAGAGGATAGAAACGAACAAAATTGAATAGTAAAGGGACGAAGATTAGGCTTTAACCCAATAAGGTTTCAATTACTGACTTCGGCTTTGACCCCCTATATAAAAGGCTGGTGACGTCTCCTTCTTTGGCGTTTCCCTTCGCTAGGTACAAACATGGATCCCGATGAGGGAAGAGAGAAGAAAAGAATCAACCTTGGAGATGATACTTCCAACAAAGCGATGGTCCGGATAGATCTTCTCCCACCGGAGATTCTGCTCGAAATCCTATCAAGACTTCCGGTCACCTCTCTGATCCACTTCAAGAGCACTTCCCATGCCGGCCGTGATTTAATCTCCGATCCAAGACTCCCTCAGATGTTCGGCAATCGGGTAAGCGACTCAAACCCATGTCTGATTCTGTTCAACTACAATTTCCATGTCCCCCAGCGACTCTATTTTGTGGATAGTGAGGGTTGCAGTAGAAAGGTTAGGAGAATCGACCCACCACAGCATTCGAAATTTTATAATCTGGTGGGTTCTTGTAACGGGCTGTTATGCTTATCCCTTCCCATAATCGGTGGTTCACCGGTGCCTCACATGTCTCCCATGTCTCACAGTCTGCTAATTAACAATCCTTTTGTTGGAGACGCTGTGAGAGTCCCACCAGCGAACCGATTTCTGAATCAAAGTGAAGTTTTTGGATTTGGGTTTCATCCAAGGACAGGAGAATTCAAAGTGGTCAGGATTGTGTGCTACGAGAAGATCATGACGGTAGCAGATCCGGAGCTAGTTGTGGAAGAAGTGAATAATGGATTCACAACTGTTTATGAATCAATGGTTCAGGTGTTTACCGTAGGAACAACAGAGTGGAGAAACAAAGGAGCTCCGCCTCCACAATTGACGGATGAAATTAGGCCACCTGAGGTTCTAGTTGAAGGATCTCTCCATTGGGTGACTGATGTTGGGATGGGAGGACTCGGACTTATCTATGGTATTATCTCCTTCGAGCTTGCAGATGAGGTGTTCAAAGAAATTCCGCACCCACCTTGTCAACGATTTGTGTCACGTGACTACAATCTTTCCGTCCTCAATGGGTGTCTATCGGCAGCTGGGTTGGTTGATACTTTGCATTTTGATATCTGGGTGATGAAGCAATACTGTGTTAAGGAATCTTGGGTAAAACAATTCTCCTTTGATCCCTATTTTCCAGGTGGATGGCCAAACTTTTTAACAGTTATATGTGCACTGAAGAATGGTGGGATTCTGTTGCAGAAGGAAGACAGTTCTCTGGTTTCTTATGATCCTGTGGAAAACAGATTCAAGACTCTTCAAATGAGTGGGTTACCAAATTGGTTCCGGGCACTTCCTTTTCTACCTTCTCTTTTCTCAGCAAAGGCAACCATGAATTTGCAACTTTAACTCTCTCTTGAATCAACCCTTTTTCTGTAAGACTACTACTAGTTTTTAGTTTGTGTTGAATCTTTGATCATCAATGCATCAGTAACAGTTGTGTTATTTACATCATCATTGGTGACCTCTGTTGTATGGCAATGAGACCCACGTGACAATTATCTGCCTTTTTCCCGAAAAGCAGTTCTGAAGAACGGGGAAACAGGTGTCATAATCTCCTCTTGGAATGGTGATTAAAGATTTTACTTTGAGCTGGGTGGCAAGATTTATAAGAGTTTTATGTGTTCTGAAGAACGGGGAGATTGTGTTGGAGTGTAACAAGAAACCTCTGGTTTCTTATGATACTAAAACCAACAGGTTCAAGGCTCTAAAGATCAACCGGCTCCAGTAGCAATTCCGAAATCTGGTGGGTTCTTGTAACGGGCTGTTATGCTTATCCTTTCCCATAATCGGTGGTTATTCGGAGTCTCACAGTCTGCTAATTTACAATCCTTTTGCTGGAGACGCTTTGAGAGTCCAATCAGTGGACCAATTTCTGAATCAATTTGAAGTCTTTGGATTTGGGTTTCATCCGAGGACAGGAGAATTCAAGTGGTCAGGATTGTGAGCTACGAAAAGATCGTGGTGGTAGCAAACCCGAATGGATTCACAACCGTTTATGAATCAATGATTCAGGTGTTTACCGTAGGAACAACAGGGTGGAAAAAGAAAGGAGCTACACCTCCACAGTTCTGGTATGGATCACCTCAGGCCTTAGTGGAACGATCTCTCCATTGGTTGATGGTTGTTAGGATGGAATGAGTTGGTCCTATCTTTGGTATTATCTCCTTTGAGCTTGCAGATGAGGTGTTCAAAGAAATTCCGCACCCACCTTGTCAACAACTCATGTCACGTGGCTACGGTCTTTCCGTGCTCAATGGGTGTCTATCGGCAGCTGGGTTAGTTGATGCTGTGCATTTTGATATGTAGGTGATGAAGCAATACCATGTTATGGAATCTCGGGTAAAACAATTCTCCTTTGATCCCTGTTTTCCTGGTGGGCGGCCAAGCTTCTTAAGAGGATTTCCCAAAGTTATATGTAATGGTGAGATTTTGTTGCAGTATAATGACAGTTCTTTGGTTTCTTATGATCCTGTAGAAAACAGATTCAAGACTCTTCAAATAGGTGGGTTATCCAAGCAGTTCCAGGCACTTCCTTTTCTACCTTCTCTTTTCTCAGCAAAGGCAACCATGAATTTGCAACTTTAACTCTCTCTCTTGCATCAACCCT